CCCCCCAATCTACACGGCAGTACCCCACGCTGTGAGGGGGATCGCCCCTACCCGTATCCGTCGCAGCCTCCGTATCCGTCGCCCGTGAGCGGCATCTTCTCCTGAAGCTGGCTGCGGCGAAGCTGCGCGTCGGCCATCCCAACGAAGTTGCGCGAAAAGTCCGTGACGATTCTTGCCGTCATTGGAGTTGAAAAATTGAGAAAAAAGCCCGTGAGCCAGTTCCGAACACCCTGATTTGGACCAGGGATGAACATGGGATGGGACCAGAAGCCTCCAGTCACTGTAGTCACTGGGCCCCTACAACACCTGCAGGTACTCACACGGGATTATTCATTGGAAATGCCATCGGAGCGGCCGCGTGCGTCTCCACCGTGCCTCAACTGGAGCTTCTGGCGGATTGGCGCTTGGGCCTGGGCCAATGAGGCCAGGCCCAACCAAACACTTAAAACCGGTCATGCAAGTCACTCACTAGCCGCAGCAGCTCAAGCGAATCCCGCCCCAAACAAACGGATGCATGAGACCGGCCGACCTGCGGGCGAAATCAATGGCCACCCAACTACAGCTGACAGGGTCAAAACGGGTCAAAGAGATCCCAGGCCTGCTAGCAGGAAGTGCACAAACCAGTGGAGAAAAAACAGAAAACGAAGGGAGAATCATATAAACATAAACCAGAGGTCATCCCTCAGAGGTCGTCCATACTACCGCTCTATCGCTCTTTAAGTAAGAGATGTCAAGCCCATATCATCCACTGAATCGTCAACCCATCCGTCCGCAGCACTCCGCCTGTGGGTGGCGACATCGGCTCCACCCTAGTAGGCCCGTGCTGCCGTGCGCAGCAGCAAAGGGACATTCAACTGATGAGAAGAAAGGAGCTCGGGAGCTTCGTTTGGAATGGAAGAGGGTTGGAGTAGGGCACCCACCGTGGGGGTTAGTAGCCTATATAGGATATAGAACTTCTCGTGCTTTGTGGCCAGGCGGTCTCTGGCTGCCAACGGAATGACCGGCACTTGGCGACCTCATGGATTCCTGGGGTCGTTGTCTCCTGTATCGCATCGCTGTCACCCGCTGGAAGTTCCCCGAGGCGCTCGGCGACAGAGCCAAATGGAGCTGCTGGAAGTTCCCCAAGCGGTTGGTGCTTCGCCTCTCTCCCAAGTTGTCACTGACTTTCGCTCAGGTTCATGTCAGATCATGGATGGCTTTGATTCATATCTATCTAGGCATGTTTCTATATATGTCTATAAAGGGCTCGAGAAGTGATTGAAAATGTGGCACAAATGTGGTGGAACATTGAAAAAGGTTACGTTAGAGGTTGTAGGGATGAACTGATTTCTCTACTGCAGGATCTTCACCCATGAACCCATCTCCACCTCCACCTGCGCGCCTTTTTCCCACCAGCCCCACAAGCGATCCTTGGCGCTTCGCGGAGCTTCGTTCTTCGCTTTCCTGAGCGGGAAGCGCACGAAGCAGAGTGTCAAGTGTAGTGATTCCTACTATTCACCGATTTGCACGGAAGATTGGAAAATGGCCATAGCACATTTGGACCAACGCAACACTGTAACACTTAGAATTAGTGCAGGGCTGCAGGTCTGCTGGGTAATACCTATACAATCCTATACACGATGTTTTTATTCAAGCTTGGACGACGACAGAACTAAGGACTTCCAATCCGGAGTGTCAACAAAGGACTTCCGTCTCAGCAGTGGAACGGGCTTCAAACGAAACGAAACATGGCAGGCGGCAGGCGGCCCCGCCCGGCTACGACGTCCCGGCTAGCGGCTCTGGGAACCCAGAGCTGCTGGTGGCCAATGCCCCCCAATGCCCAGGCCCTTCCGACAGCGCAATGTTCCAGGACAAAGTGACCGTGACGGTGTCTGGCAGCATCTGCAATTGGATCGTCAGGGACGAGACTCTGCGCTCTTCAAGCTCAACATCCAACTCTCCGATGAGTTCCTCGAACGCTGCTGAAGCCGAGCAAAGTTCCAGCAAATACCTGCTAAGAGCTCAAGACTTACAGGAAAACAGTTGGAGAGACCTCTTTGGCTGCAGAATCAGGAGCCTTTCACGGGGTACAACCCTGAGATCCTTTCACCCACCGCACTGTATTACATCGGAATTGAGCCACCAGGCCGAGCTGTGCCATTTTCCCGACTCAACGACCATCCAGGCGGCATCCACCGTGTCCACCGTGCCATGGCGGGCGTGGAAGGTCACCCTGTCCCCGTAGAGCAGCAGCACGTCTTGCGTCAAATGGAGCGCTTTGGTGATGCAAGGCCCCATGGCCTAGAGAGCGGAGGTGATGGAAGCTGCTGGATGCAGGGTGGTTTGGGGAACAGAAATGATGGAACAACATGGAACAACTGTAATTCCAACGTGCGACTGGCAACACCGTGAACCATTGGCAACCATGAATGTCTCCCGGAAAACGACCCTGAAACTGAACCTCTGGAGGGGCTTGTTCCAGCACAAGTCAGGCATCTTGAAGAATCCACGCGCAGCCTGAAACCCGACGATTCGCCGTCCTTGCCGTCCGACACGCGTTCCTCCAAGTGGCGTGGATCAGCACTTCCGAGTGGCCACGATCGAAGAGCTTCCTGGCCCGCCAAGACCGGATTCGACTCGAGACTCAGACTGACATCCGAGTCGGGCACACCTCTGCCAGGGTGCATGGCACAAACCTCAAGGAAAAGACGTGGTGGGTGTTCATCTATTTCAACCTTCCTCTTTTGTGATCTTGGGGCATCCATACGTGCAGGGCTGAAAATGACCTCAAACAAAGGCGCTTCGGGAACTTCGGGACTTCAGGGCCGACACGGCATGCTGGTTACACTTTGATGATGTTTTGGACCTTTTGTCGTTGGCATTGGCATTATGAAGTTTGTAGAAGGACCTTTTCATGCCTGCTGTTTAAGAGAGGTATCCCACAGCCACCACATAGCGGAATCATGCAGGCTCCAGCGACGCAGGTTCGGCTCTCTATCCTGCAGGACCATTGAGGCTTATATGTGTCTTCCTTAGAAATCCTGTTCCTTCCTAAAGGCCGGCCTAACAATCTTGAAGAGAACGGCTAGGCTTTGGCGGCGCGCCACATAGACCTGACCGCTGTGCGGTCCAAGTCCAACACATCTGGGCTACAGGTCCGGGTGCTGTGGGGCAAAGTCCAACAAATCTTGATACCCAAGAATAGCAACAAAACTCCCCCAAAGTGACACCTCTGCGCTGGCTGATTGGTCAAGAGTTCACCAAAGGAGGTAGCTTGCGACCAGGTGACCATTTGGCGCAAAGCTGATTGTTGGTAGAAGTAAGTCATCTCTACAGGCCTGGAAACGAGTTTCCATTGGTAATGGTAGTTCATCATCTGGAGATTTGGGACACACACTGAAACAAGTTCTCCTGCGCTACTTGAATGCCCACTGTTTGCAATTGTGCAATATGGACATGGGGTTGAGGGAGCGGAACCTCTACTGAACTTGGATTTATGTCCACCTTGTCTATTTCTGGGCTTTAAGCATGGTTGGCCCCCAACAGTCCAGCAGCAACAAGCCTCAGCGTAACTGGCATAAAAACACTCCCCCTTGTTGTGCCGAACCATCCGGCTTGGCAACGAAAAGACATCCAGAGCACAAACTCCAACAATCCCACACATGCTCTGCAGCTTCCCCCTGACCCTCCTTGCTGCCGTCTGAAACGGCCTCGTTCTCAGCGGTGCTTCGGCTAGGCGGCCGCCGCGCACGCAGCGGCTCGGGCGGCTTCGGGGACGCTGGGTCCGCACTTGTGGGGTTCTGCAGCATGAAAGGGAACACGGAGCGACGTTGGTTGGTTTAAACATGAACGGGTTTTATCAAGGGGTGCATGCCCAACTATAGTAACTTATAGCTTCGTGCAGGGATGTGTGTCGTTCGTTTCACGTCGAAACCGTTACGTTGGGCGTCGGCATGGGCGTCGGTCCGTCCGTCTCTACACCGGCCATGGCGGTCGGAGCGACCTGGAAGTGCTGCAAAAACCCCAACCGGGGCGGTGGACACAGGTGAAGGGGTGGGGCATGTCCTTTGCCAGACCGGTCTGTTGAATGACTGATTCGAGTGGAATGGAAGGGATTGAATGGAAGATGCCCTTTGAGGGCACAACCTTCCAAAAATATAAATATATATACAAGGTTTCACCCGAAGATGGGTCCGGCTGATGTGTTCAAACAGTTTCCAACCCTTTTGCGGGGGCCTTTCCCAAAACATGTAGAAAAGAATCATTCGTCAGACGTACTCTTATGAGATCAGCCCTCCGTGCGTGGTTGCATTCAAAGAATGGATTGGTTTCAAGTTTTTTGAATTGCTTAGTCACTTAGTCTTGGCAGTGCCAAGATGTACCCTAGATTAGGAAACCCAACATGAGAGTCACGTGGGATCAAGAAATTGTCTAGATTCTAGACTCTATCGACAAAATTGGCATTTCTTATCACAAGCCTCAGCTATCATTTCGGAAAGCATCACGGGGGGACCGACGCCGGTCATCTGAAACCTCTTGGCGTCGCTGGTCCCCTGTCCTCCATCTGGCCCCCTTGGCTTGCCGCGGTGGTGGCCATGCTGCAGGCGGCACCAAACCTGACCCCCCTGAGGCACTAGAATCCCCAACTAAGCTGAGTTGATGCAAATCAGCCGCCATGAATGGGCCAATTGCGGCGGCCAGGAGCTTTCAGGGAAACATGCTTGTACAGTACGCCTTCCTTGTAGCTTTGAGCGTGAGCTGTCATTGGCGACAAACAATGCCTACACCACTTTCTCCTGAGTGACTTCTTGTCAAATCTGTGGTGAGCCGTGGGCTGCGAAGCAAGAAAGCATGATACAGCACATCTTCACCAAATATAAGCGTAGATCAAGAAATTCTGGATCTCTCCTGAACTTTATTTATGAGCAGCACGTCTTCACATCCTCCACACCTTTCCCTAAGCATAGTTGGCCTTCCGGCTCAGATACTTCGCCACTTTTATCTTCAGCTTGTTCCCGCAGTTTTGCCGCGGCACGTCCTTCAGTTCAGAGGGAGCTAAATTTTGGCCCAACACATGTGGCTGTTAGGAAGAACAACTGAGCCAGCAAAACCAAGACGCTTTGTGCAATGCAAGCCGCCGTGAAGAACCCAAACATCAGTTGAACCAACCGCACATCCGATGCGCGATGCAATCTTCGACTCTTAAACTCCTTACACCCTTCCAATTGACTTCTACACCACCATGTCAATTCTGATTCCAACCTCTGAGTCTCATAGCCAAAGGCCAAAGGTTCCACACGTCCGCGGCAAAGACATAGATCTGGCGGGAAGTGGTTTCGGTTCCATGGTGCGCAAGAAGTTGACCATGAAGCTTCAAGCTTCCATCACACATGCAGTCTTGGACAACAGGTCATCATATGTTGATACGTGCCATTTTTTATGGTGTTCATGGACATAGGCTTTGGATGGCTAGTCAGGGCCTTCAGTCGGATTGACGTTACAAGGGTGGCAGCCATGTGGGCACTCAGTGTATGCCGACGGCGTCCAAGTGGGTCACCGGAGTGCCTGTGCAGGCTTCGGGCGTGCCTGTGGCATGCAAATACCTACCTGATCTCTTATCCATGTGAGCTACCGTCACTCTTCGGCTCCTGGCAAGTTACTTGCACGAAAAAACACGTAAAGAAAGAAGGGTTGCAATCGGACCTGGGTCAACACACTCCATCTTTGCACACAAATAGATATAGACACATATTGACAGTAGCTCATGCGGCGCGCAGTTGGCTGTACTCCTGCTCGCAGATTTTTCGCAGATTCTATGCAAAAGCCGTGCCTGTCCCTGCTACCAATCTCTGGCGCGTGGATTTGTTGAGCAATCATTGATCGCAAAAGGAAAGACACTGGCACGCAGCGGGAATTCTGATACTTCAACAGTTGCTAAGTCTTGAGAGGCCCGAGCGGCGTTCCGCCTTTCATGAGCCTCTGATACTGACTGAGGCGGACAGCGTGCCTCAACTAAAAGTTTTTGCCAACTCATCCTCCAAGTCGGCATGGTCTTGGGGTCGGCGTTTGGTCTGGACGCCGCAACTTTCACACACTCTGGATTCTGCTCTCACGTCAACTTACCAGGACCACACCCGGGCCGATTTAAAGGCTTAGCAAAATGCTGCGCAAAGACTTTTCAGTGCAGGGCTCACAGGCTCGTCCTGGCTCCACGTTCACGTCGGCCCTCTTTAACAATGTCACCATTTCCCGACAAAGACCCTTCGCCGTCAAACAAGCTGTGCCATCCGCCTTCGTGCACATCCGCTTGTGCCACCCAACAAGACGTTCACTGCATCTGCTTGAAGATAGAGAGATGCATGGTTCAAAGTTTCGAGAGCCACCTGTGCATCCTGCGAATCAAATTTAACATGTGCATTGGCCTTGGCAAAGGCCAATGAACAACTTTCAAGTGGCCTGCCCCCGATGCAACCATCAAGGGAGTACATTCACTGCTCTCTTTGTTCACATCCGCTTCTGCCGCAATCAGCCTGCACTGTACCGCCTTCTCTGTCACTCACCGGCAAGCTTCTTGTGACCACATTTACGTCTGCCCGAGCCCCTACTGCAACTGGTAGGGAGCAAGGGGTCAAGCAACCGAAGGTACGCTTCTCGATTTGTCGCTGTCACACAGCGAAGCATGCGACCATCGCGCGGTCCTTTTCTAACTGAAAGCTTGAAGTCTTGTGCCCTCCCGACTGCGTCGGCGAACGTTCAGCGAACCACAAAAGGCTCATGGGAACCCTCAAACATGAATGGCACTTCATGAGTCATCCCAATGCTCACATCACCCATACTCCTGAGATCTTGTGGGGTTGGTTCTGAAGGCCATTTATGGATCTCCGCCATCTTCTGGATGGCTGCCAGGAAGTGGTCCTGGTGCTCTTTCATGAGGCGCTCAAGTTCCTTCTTTCGGACCTTGCGTCCAGCTTCAAATTTTGGATCATGAATGACAGTCCATCGCTGTCCATTTGCGAAAAACTGAAGCAGAACCTTTCTCGAGTTCCACTTGGTGAGGCTGTCGCCTGACTGCACACCGCCATGGACACATCTAAATTGAGTTCCTACCTGAAGTGCTTGGCACACTGAAATCGTGAGTTCGCACCCCGATCTTGAAGATGTGAGGCCGTGGAGGCTTGAAACATTCCTCGTGGCAGCATCAAAAATGCCACGGGTGTCCATAACAACTGCTCCATGGGAGCACTCACGAACCACTGAGTACAGGTTGCGGCGGTCAAAAACTTTGCCGTGCAGCTCACACCAAAAACTTCGAGCACGAAAAACTAAATCCTCAGCTTCAGTCACACTTTGTACCTCGGCCCCGTTGGAGCCTAGCACTTGCCGTGGTGCCTTAGTGGATTTCCACTGCACAAGGGACACAGGAAATTCCTCACCATCCTGCAACTCTTTTGGGGCCATGGACGGTTCCAGCGAAAGTAGGTCAGGCCCTGCTGAGCTTCTCGCTTCATCTCTCTGGCCACTTTGTTGGCACGGATGAGGGTGTCGACGGTGGAGTACGGCACCTCAGACAAGAGGATGCCACAATCGGCCAGGAAGTGAGGAGATGTCTGTGAGGCACGCCATGCCATGGTTCCAACACAGCCTCGAAGAGCTGACACCTCAGCTGCTGTCGCTTTGTCCTTCTTTTGTTGCATTCGTTCAGCAGTCAGTGGGATCTCTTCGATCCACCGGTCGGTGTACTCTTCCTGCGAGATCCGGATGGTGCCATTAGCATAGGATCGCAGCTGGCATCCCGTGAAGGTGAAGGAGTCTTCTTCCCACTTGCCCCACTTGTAGGCCTTGCCAATCTGTTGGAAGGCGTCTTGGAAGACAGCACTATCTTCATTACCTCCCACCAGCAGGTCATCCACGTGAGCCCCAATCACGCTCACGATAGGCGTCTCGGCCTGTGTGTGGTCTTTGAGGATGAAGACACACTGGTCGGCTTGAAGTCTGTTGTAGCCGATCTTTTGCAAAGTGCCAGCAAGGTGATCGTACCATGCTCGTGGGGCGTTCACCAAACCATAAAAAGCACGCCGGATTCGAAGTGCCTTGACCGGAGCCTCAGGAGCTGCTCCAAAAAGCACTGCCAACTCAGATCCTGGTGGGCCTGAAGGAAGGGAGAAGTCACATCACCTCCTCAGATTCGGAAGCCGAGGTTGGCACACATAGTGAGAACCATGTTCCTGGACAAACGAGGCATTGTCGGTGATGAGCTTTGGACATTGACCAGGTTTGGCGCCTGGTATCAAAGCACGACCAACCGGGCCTTGAAAGTCCCGTTTACCTTCACAGTCAGAACCCACCGCATGTTCATCACGGTCTTGGGGTTCAAGTTCTTCTCTTCCTGCAAGGTCAGGCTTCGAAGGGCCTTGGAGTGCAGCACATTGCTAAGCTCCTTTGCCTGTGCCGCATCAAAGGAAATCTTTTCGTCCATTGAAAGCTTGCTCCATTCTTTCTCCTTGCCCTTTTCCATCACCTTCTTTGACAACCACACTTCAGCCCTGTTGGGGCGATTGCTGAGCCACTGCACCTCCTTGGGAGTGATGTCAATCTCAAGGGAGAAGGCGGTGTCTTCTTCCACGGTGAGGAACATGTTCTGTCCGCCCTTCTTGTCAGGAGGCTTCTTGCTTTTCTTCTTGATCACCTTTGCAGGTGTTGGCTTCTTCTTTTCTGGGATCAACTCTTCTGAGGAATCACTTGAGCTTGGAGTCATCATCTGCGTCCATTGTGATCCCATCTCTTGAGTTCCAGTGAAAGCGCTTGCCGTGCTGGTTGATGTGAGGTCCATCATGGCCACCCGGAAGTGAGCACTCGCGAACTGAGCAGTGATTGCCGATCACTGTTTGCCCTCCACGTTCTTGGGGAGTCATCTCTTCGTCAATCTGAACATTGGGACGTGGAGTTGATGGCATTCCCGCTGGAGTCAGCGGAATAGCTAAGCCTTCAGCTGTTGGAGTCTCGGACGTGGGAGTCTTCTTGGGCATCTTTTCGAGGGATGGATCATCTTGTCCTTCTTCCTTCTGTCTCTTCGTTCCCCTCGATGTTGATGCCGATGCACTGGAAGTTGAAATCTCCAGCCATGTTTCTCCCGTCCATCGCTCTTGTAGATGTCGGTGAGGTTCATCTGACTCACGAAAATCGTCCTCGAGGGTGATCTTGTTCGAGCCAGGGACTGCTGGCTGTACATAGGTCTTCCTCACACCCGTCAAGCGGTCTTCAGGGACAGGGCTTGATGCAACTCTTGCCGGAGTGAACAAACCGAGTCGGGGAGCACGATGAACACGGATCACAGTGGTCATTCTTGGGCGTCTTCTCTTTGGGCTCGAGGGTCACCGTAGCACCGCTCACATCTTTCTCACGACTCTTTTGTGGTGGTGTTTCACTGAGCCAGTTGCGAGCCAAAGAGTGCTGCCCTCTTGTAGAAGGACTCGAAGAGGTCCTACCCACCGGCCTTTGCCACCCTGTTGTCTCCAGACCATAGTCAGGGCTCCTGTCTTGTAGAGATTTGGAGCTCGGCCTGTGGCATTGGAAAGGCGACTCATTCTGGACTTTGCA